CCCCCCCCCCCCCCCCCCCCCCCCCCCAAAGGAAAAAAAAAAAAGTTCAAATTCTCGAGGGCATAAGGTTAAAATATTATTGCTGTTGTTTCCTTCCTGTCTTAGAAGCGTGGATATGATGTACCTGTGTCATTCCATTCCATTGCATGATTATTATTATTCTTTTTGAAAACTATAAGTAGAGATATGTTGGAGCCTTGAAGGAATCATTTAGTACTTTCTAATTTAATTTAGTATTTGTTAGAGTTGTCAACTTGTCATGTAATCAATCATTTTCACTTTTTATTTTTAATTTTACTACCACTGCATTATGCCTAGCATGTTCAAAATTCTAGTGCTTGTTCAACACACATTTGTCGCTTGAACGTGGGATAAGAGCTTGTTGAGTTTGTGCGTTGTGTAGTAGTTAGTTGAAAGTGCAAATTAATATTCATGCTTGCATTGCATACACTTCTATAAATTCATGTGTGTGTGTGTGTATTTTGCTGATTGAATTAGAGAGAGAATTTACAAATTAAGGGACACGCGCTCAATAGGCATTTGGTACCCATACTCCACTATATAACACTCAATTTTAGACGTGAGGAGAGAGTTTTCAGATTTATTGTTGAACCGCTGAAAGTTAATAATTTACTGACTGATTTGTTTTAAAGCAGAAGAAACTTGGAAAAAATGAGGTAGATGTTGTCCATTGTGTCATGCACAACTTTTTTCAGTTGTGCTCTTTCAGACACATGTTTCGATCCTGTATGAGTTTTTATCTTGCCCATATTTTTATTTTTGCATTTGCCCTAATAAAATCTGGATTACTCATTTGAAAAAAAAAAAAAAACTTGATTATTTTTCTTATTTGAACACAAGGTGGCAGCTCCTCCGCCTATTACTGGTCAATTGCAGCCACCTAGAATGTTTGGGATGCCTCCACATCCACCTAACCAATCCATGACTACTATCTCACCTGCTATTGGTCAAACTGGATCGCCTGCAGCCACACAATCAAAAATTGATCCAAATCAGATACCAAGGCCCGTTCCAAATTCATCAGTCATCCTGTTTGACACTCGTCAAGGCAACCAGGCCAGTCTGCCCCCGGTACTTTCTCAACATACATGGGGTTTATTACATTCGCTTTTTTATTTCCCCTGTTTTATTTCTTGTCCTAGTGATTTTACTGACAGCACTGTTGCGCGAATACGAACTTCAAATTTATTTACTGTTGCTGGTGTTTGTTTCTTTCAAGCTTTAATTGTTGTAATGTGTTCCTTCTTTATACTTTATGAAGCTTGCATCAAGTGAGTATATTGTGAGAGACACTGGGAATTGCAGTCCACGTTTTATGAGGTGCACCATTGGTCAGGTGAATGACTAGTATTAATTTCACCATTTCATCATTTCCCATTTTTATCTTTTGCTTAATATTCT